GAGGAGACATATCGATGTAGGAGCATCAGAAGGAGATCGTGCGGGGCATGTGCGAGTGGTGACTCTGATATGATGTGACTCAAATATGGCTTTGCTAGCTTTGACCTCACCATCTCACAAGAGAATTCATCAATGCTTTCATAATTTCATTTGTGTGCGTGTTGAACTCTTCTTTGTTAACCCTTCCCTTATCTGAACCTGTTTACTGTATTGGGAGGAGACATAGAGAAGTTCATGAGCTTCTGCACTGCCCAATTTCTTTCAAATCATTCCATTTCCACCACAAAAATTCCTCTTCCTTTTTGCTTGCGCTTTTTCCTGCTTTCTTAGTGGCCGCACCTTCCATTTCGTATTGCTTCTAACTTCTAACTAATATAACTATATAGTTTTTTCCTCTCGGGCAATATCTTTTACAGTCACGAATATTTACTTGTCACGTTTATTAATCGATTATGAAATCTCCATAAAGAATACTGTAATACCACGAGCATATGTAGCTAGCTAGCTAATGAAATAAATGACGTCACTAATCCTTTTTAGATATGTCAATTCGTATATTTTTATTTTATATTTAATATGTATAAAATATAAAAAAAACCTATCGATGCACCAAACAAGATAAATTTAAATTTTGTCGAACTCATATCTTTTTTTGTTAATTTTAATAAATCTAATTATTTTTGTATTTTTTTCACCATATGTTATTTAAATTGTAATAACTAATTTTTTTATGTTATGGTTTATTCCTAGCAAATACTACTTGCGATTTGTATGCATGATCCGAGGGCTAGAACTTTGTAATCCATTCCCGTGACTCGAGGAGAAATCTTGGGTAAATTTTAGAATCGTCCTGCCCTATCTTTTTCATTTTGGCTAGCATTTACACTTAGCTGGCAGAACAATTTTTTAGAATTTGGAAGAGAATCACGAGAAGTCACGTTACTCCATCCCTGTACAACAGTTTCTTAACCACCACTTAATGGAAACTTTCCAACGACATGATTAAGGACGAAAGCCTATATCCGCTCTGAAATGTTTCTAAAAGTTGATGTGAAAACTCTTCAAACAAATGTACTCCCTCATCTGCACTCATTGATTTTATGTCAGTGACTCAATGGATATCTTTAATTTGTTAGAGAGGTCTTGCAAACCAATTATTTGATACAGCTCTAAAAAATTACTATTATTATAAGGATGGAAATAGATCCAAAATCCGATCATGCATGTTTCCATCGCTTGAAAAAGAGATTAATTAATCTGAAGCATATTTCTTGGAGAATTAAAGTTTCTATCATATTGATCGACCCAATTGCCCAACTGATGAAGCCAAACCTGTAATGAAAATTTGAAGATCAGCGGAGATTTCAAAGAACAATCTGGCAATTATGCATATATGTCGAGTCCGTGCAAAATTGCATTTAGTGCAGAAAAATGGATAAAGATAACAATAATAAAGAAGAGAAAGGAGAAGGGATTCAGTCATTTTGTCAAGTAAACTTGGTGGTCAGTTTCTTCCCAACAACTTCATTAGCTGTTTGATTGTTACTCTTAATTACCTGCCTTAAACCATATATTTGTTTGTCATTATCTTGTCTGTCCTCCTCGACATTACTCGCATGCCATTGATCTCTTGCTTTTTAGCTTCAGCATGTGTCTCGAACTCGATGATAAAAATATTAATTTGAAAAAGATTGTATTTACAACGGTATCAAACTATCAATGCAAGCCAGAATTATCAGTAGGTTAAATACCCATTCTACACAAAACAATAGTTTGACAAGTCCATTGATGAGGACAGAACCTTTTGCCAAGATTGGGCAGGAGACCCCTCGTGGCTTAGAAAGCGATCGCATCATCCTGCTGCTTTCAAACTCACCTTCCAGATTATTGTTTCAGCACATGCAAGCTGCATGGCATTAAATGTAAACGTCGAAACCCACTTTCTGAAATACTACTCTACTAAATCGATTCTCTAATTGTTTTTCCTTGCATATTGTTGTAGATTTACTTTCCATGTTATCTAGAGTCGTTCACATGTGATACAACTGTATATACAAGCAATTGGTTGCCAGCTATATGATTGCAAATTACTAGAGACTCGATATATATTTGAGGAAGGATTTACTCACATTAATTTCATTATTTTTTACATATACATTTTCTTTTAAAATTCAGACATTGAATTTTTTGTTATATTCATGTAAATCATGTATAATCAATTTCAAATTAATTTAATTTGTTTAACTATTTATTTGATTTAATAAAATTTCAACAATTAATGTATAGATTAAAAAAGACGTATATTATTCTCAATTAAAATGACAAAAATATTACATTTACTTGAAATTTTAGGTGCATGACGAACATAAATAGATTATTGAATTTGAAAATATTAATTGTACATGAACTTATAAAATTAGGTATAAATTAAACAAATTAATTTTACGTCTGTATATAACTTGATTCCATCTTATACAAATATAAATATATATTTCCTTTGGATGCATTAATTATTCTACAAAGTAAGATTGTTTGTTTAGCATTTTGTCTATTTAATTTTAATTACTAAATAAAAAAGAATTATAAAATTTACTGTTCATTTAAATAATAAATGAATGTATGAGTGTGACAAATTAATGTATAAATTTATTTGATAGCTTTTTAAAATTATTACAAGATAATTAACAACCTTAATAATTGTTCATTTTATGTGCCATTGTTTCTCTTTGATGCTTGTAGAATTAAAAGCCTAAGATAATTTGTATTTATATGGCATATGCATAAGTCAACACAAATGTAGCAGTCGTACGGAAATTTTGTGCTTTGAACATAATTAAGGTCTTTCATTTTGGTGAGAGATCACTAATATCTACGCGGAGCTAATTTAGTAATTTCACCTAAGAAAGATTATACTTACAGGCCGCCTAACTTGACATCAGGCCAAAATAGTAGGCAGAGCGCTGCGGCCAAACCTTTTTCTTCTCCTATAAATCAAAGAAACAATCAATACCCGGCCTCGGATTTTACCATATGCTTCATAGAAAAGCCGCTTGTCAATCCCTGTTTCAAAGAAAAAAAGAGTCCATTAATTTTGCCATTTCATGTTCTTAGTGCAGGTGGAGAGCTCCAAAGGGATCGCATTGATCTAATGTTCATGGATTCCTGAACGAAATCATTAATTGGGTTGTTTTTTAAGAGCTCTTTTTGATTCAGTTCACTCATTGGATCATGCGATCCCTTCGGAATTTTCCATCACTAGCTCTATATTTTTATCAAGCCTCCTGTTCATCCTGCTAAGCCCTTTCCATGTTTCTACGTTTTTTTTTTTTTTCAATCTTTTGTGGAAAAAGCATGGATTTTATCAGTAAGATAAGTTTTCTTTTTTTGTTCCCTTAATTTTTATATGTATGTATCTCTTTATTGTAAGGCATGAGATCATCCGGGATATAAAGTGTGGATTCTTCCGGCTTTGATCCATGAAGGTTTTTGATTTGTTGATAAGAGGTCTCAAGGCAATACTGCTTAAATTATTTTTGTTTCATAAAAAAAAAGCTACTGTTATGGTTCATCTGATGAAAACAATTTCTGGCTGTGTGCATGGTTCAATATAGGGAAGATACTCTATTAAACACTTCTACGAAACCTTTTGGCTGCAAAAGCAGGAGGCTCTTTCCTGGTCACTGAACTTACACACTTCAAAATTGTTTGCTGAAAACCCAATATGAATTCTGTCATGCCTGATGCCTCCGACTCCAGCCTATATAACATATGATAGCTGTCACGTACCATTGCAAATATGTAAGGTAACAAATTTTAAACTATTTTACATTTTAATAAATTGTTTACTCTTCAAATGACGTGAAAGGTCATGAATAGAGATTCAGATATAGATTTATGTGCAAGTTCAAATTTAGACATGAGAAACGATCACTTTCACTCTAATGTCAAGTTTCAAATTCCAAAATTAACCTCACCGAAGCTAAGTACAACGCTAGTATGTACACTACAATTGTATTTATCTCTAATGACATGATTCAGGATGTAGTTAAATTCAGAAACAGAAAATCGTTCTGTCCAGTTCACGTATAAATTTTTAAAATAATAATAACAATTAACATTTCTGAAAATCATATTCAATTCAAACATAATTCTCAAGGTTAAATTTTAGGATAGATTCAAAACATAATAAAATCATCAATTCATGCATTCCAAATTATTTTCATATTCATAAAATATAAAATAATCTATACAATTTTATATAACAATAGAAAAAATCATATTTGATTTATTTCAAGAAAATATATATATTTATACATTCATAAAACAACAAAGGTTCGACAAGCCCTTATCTAGTAAGCTTAGTTTCATAAGACCAAAAATTTATTCAAAATAATTTCGAGACTTAATAATCCAAATAAGCCATAATTAAAAACCTATCAAATATCATAAATAAAAAAATAAATAATCCGACCATTTATATATCTCCAATTGCAGAAGATGAAAGCAACTACATGGTTCAACTCAAATAGTTGATTTTTTTCTCAAAGGTTTTTTTTACCTTAACTCCTTAATATTAATATTTTTATACTTTATTTTTAAAAAAGTACTTTGAATTAACACTATAGGAAATAGATTTTTAGTAACTTTTTTTTTTTTCGTTTAATGATGTTTATAAACAAACGGCTTTTACGAAAACCCTAAAATATCTCCGCTCCTATTAACTATTTTTTATTTTTTATTATTATACAATAAATTAAAAAATAAATCTTATTGTATAATAAATAAATAAATAAATTTTAATTTTGATTTTTTATTATTAATTTTTATTTTAAAATTTAAAATATTTATTTTATTTTTTCATTATAATTTATCTCACCATCGTTATTTTTGCCTTTTAAACATTTATCCCACATTGTAACAATCAAATTTACTTTCTCTTAAAAGAGCTATTGTATGATGGTATATATGAAGCTCCACATACAAGAAATTTTAATTAGAGGAATGCTAATTATCTATGGGGTAATAAACTGCGAATGGTTCCAAGAGAAGGATGGAATATTGGCGAGGCAGAGGTGCTGGAGTTTTGCAGGCTTTCAAAGTCCCAAAGAAAGTTTCTATCACTGATTATCTCCCAAAGACTGCAGACTGCACATCACTTCCTTGGCTCTAGTCTCCACCTCTGAGGTCCCCAAGTCTGTAACTTCAGTAAATACCATATGCGCTGATTTCATGTGAGAAACAAAAAGTACTTCCATTCCAAACATATGGGGATAGGGTAACTTCACAAATAATTAAGAGTTGTTCCTATAAACAATGGTTTCTAATATTTATATAACATGAATACTTCCGTATCATGGAATTAGATTCTTAAGCTTTGCTTGGTAAGAATGATGAAAAACATTTTGATCCAATAATTAAAATTCATAACCATTAGATTAAAAAATTTTCATCCTCACCTCTTTTCATACTTCCTATTAAGCAAAACTTTAATTTGTAGAATGAATCCTACCATAACATTGTGAAATTTTTATGCAAACCAAGTGCCAAAGAGTTTTCTTATCTTGTTTGGAAAGGCCTAAAAAACTGAACAGATCACTTTGGCAACACATGCTTTTAGAGTTTAGACAAAACCTGGCAAGTGTGAAATTATGAAACAGAAGCAGACAAGCAAAGCATACAGCCTGAAGGACAAGGCATGTTCTCCTCACATCACATCAGAAAACTAATGGGAATTTGATAACAAATGAGAGAACGTATTCTCCTCAACTAAGGCAGATTAACAAAAAGCAACATGCAATACAAACATTGCAAAGAATTAAAGTCGAAAATTCATATGCATTCAGTAGCTACTGAAGTCAAGATGTTCATAAACAAAACTCTCTAAACCATTACCATAAGCAAACAAAAACCATAGGCCAGGAGACTAGACGCATAACCACAATCCAAACACCCAAACAAGGTATTCAGGTAAAAAATTTCAACTCACAACATTAACAAAGAAAACTGTAAGTCAGCCACAAGCACACTACTGTTCCTGGAGTTCATCCTCCTCCTCCTCCTCCTCCTCATAATCATACCCCTCCTCATCAGCTGTTGCATCTTGATATTGTTGGTACTCAGAAACCAGATCATTCATGTTGCTCTCAGCCTCAGTAAACTCCATCTCGTCCATTCCCTCTCCAGTATACCAGTGCAAGAAAGCCTTCCTGCGGAACATAGCTGTGAACTGCTCACTTACTCTCCGGAACATTTCCTGAATTGATGTTGAGTTTCCAATGAATGTTGAGGATATCTTCAAGCCAATTGGTGGAATATCGCAAACAGTAGACTTCACATTATTGGGGATCCACTCCACAAAGTAGGATGAGTTCTTATTCTGTACATTAATCATCTGTTCATCAACCTCCTTTGTGCTCATCTTGCCACGGAACATGGCTGAAACAGTTAAGTATCGCCCATGGCGAGGATCAGCAGCACACATCATGTTTTTGGCATCCCACATTTGTTGAGTGAGCTCTGGGACAGTAAGAGCCCTGTACTGCTGGGACCCTCGAGATGTAAGTGGAGCAAAGCCAACCATGAAGAAATGCAGCCGAGGGAATGGAATGAGATTAACAGCAAGCTTGCGCAGATCTGAGTTGAGTTGACCAGGGAAGCGAAGGCAGCAAGTTACACCACTCATGGTGGCAGAAATTAGGTGGTTCAAGTCTCCAACTGCATTCAAACAGAAACCAGTGATGAGATCAACAGAATTCTCACGACCAAGAGTGGAAGGGAAATAAGAATCAGCAGGACAAACAATAACAAGAGCATGAAAAAGTATTTTGACTTACAGCTTGGAGTCGTGAGTTTGAGAGTACGGAAGCAAATATCATACAAAGCTTCATTGTCCAAAACCATACATTCATCTGCATTCTCAACAAGTTGGTGAACAGAAAGAGTGGCATTGTAAGGTTCGACAACAGTGTCAGACACCTTAGGGGATGGGAAAACAGAGAAAGTGAGCATCATTCGGTCTGGGTATTCCTCTCTGATCTTGGAAATCAGAAGTGTTCCCATGCCCGATCCAGTTCCACCTCCCAACGAGTGACATACCTGAAATCCTAAAATATTAAAGAAAAAACGATTACCAAATCAAAATCAACAAGAATAGATTTCAGGTAATAAAGGAAAGCAAATTCCCATGTACGAGTTATTGCATGTTTTTAAGAACCATCTTACTCTATATTGGAATAGACCATCTAACAAGCTTGATAACAGGTTTTTCAACATAACATTCAAATTAAGTATGATTTACTATCAATTATTTCAGCAAACAAACATAGAACCTTGATTTGAAACTTAAAATTTGCTATTAATTTGAAAAATCAAAGCACACATGCAAATAAAATCCTAAAACGTCCATAAATTCTCAGGTCCATACACTAAAGTAATAGCAAAAACAAATTAAAATCAACCAATAAAAGAAATGAAGCCATCAAATACTTATTCTACGGGCTAATAATCATCTACGCTAAAAAAATCCAAACCAAAAAAAAAAAAGTATGCTTAAAAATATGGAACACACTTTACCTTGCAAGCAGTCACAGTTCTCAGCTTCTTTCCTCACCACATCAAGCACTGAGTCAATCAATTCAGCCCCTTCCGTGTAATGACCCTTGGCCCAGTTATTCCCCGCGCCGGACTGCCCGAAAACAAAGTTGTCGGGCCTGAAAATCTGCCCGTAGGGGCCGGATCTAACACTGTCCATGGTGCCGGGCTCCAGATCCATGAGGACGGCGCGTGGAACGAACCTACCGCAACTCGCTTCATTGTAGTAAACATTCAGGCGCTCCAGTTGCAAATCGTTGTCTCCTTGGTACCGTCCCGTGGAATCGATACCGTGCTCGGCGCAAACCACCTCCCAAAACTTGGCACCGATCTGGTTGCCGCATTGGCCCCCCTGAATGTGAAGAATCTCACGCATTTTATCAAAGACTGAAAGGTTTTAGAGAATAAAACAAACAAACAAAGTGAAATTTTTGAGGACTTTATTTTTTTTTTTTTTTAGATATATGGATTTGTATTGGAAATGAAGAGAGAAAATGATGGTTTATATAGTGGGGAGGCGACGGAAGGCGTTGTTTGGTAGAAAGGGGAAGTTTTGAATTTAAAGTTTTTGGGGAAAAAAAAACTGAGGTTCCGTTTGGGTTTTAATAAGAGCAGGATTTTTAAGCGCACTTGATGGGATGGAGAGTGATGCGCGGGTTGCGAGTCATCATGTGCTACTTAGGGTTGGCATCGGATCGGGTTCGGGGTGGGTTTTGTTCGCCTCAAATTCGATCCGACTTAATGTTTAAAAAATCTGAATCTGATCTTACTCAAAATTTTTTTTGTTTTTTCATACTCGAACCCGAATCCGACCCGACACTATATAAACCGTACCCGATCCGACCCGAAATTAATAAAATATTATTTTTTAAATATAAATATTTAAAAATATCATTATATAAATATATATAATTAAAAAATTAAAAAATTAATTAAAAAAATTATTTTTATATATATAGGGTCGGGTCGGGGTCGGGTTTTAGGCCCGACTTTGTCTTCATGCTACCCGACCCGACCCCTGATTTTAAAAAAAAAAAACCGACCCTAAAAAATCGGGTCGGACCGGAATCCGTCGGGTACGGATTTTTTTGCCTTCCTTATGTGCGATGACGTATTTGTCTCCTGTGACAGTGTGACTCAAGGCCTTCGTGCGTTGAGGGTGGAAAACGGGAGCACGTGAGTTTGAAAGAGGAACGTGTGACTGCCACTTTCGGATAAAAGCACAAAAGAAACAGGTTTAGTGGCAAGGGCGTGTTTGGTTGTTTCAAGTCCCCAAGATTCCAAGTAGGATTTGGTATCTATGTTGGATCTATTTTCTATGTTCTCTGTAAGCACATGAACATGATTTTCCTTTTTTTTTTTTTTTTTTAGATTTACTATTATCATAATATATAAATTTATAGAAATATCATTAGATACAAACTAACGAGTCGCAACTAATATTCTATTAAGATGTAATTGGTTATTTAATAAATCTATCATTTTAAAAAAAAATTTAAACTTGATTAAGGGTTCATAAAAAAAAAATTTTGACCTTCTAAACAAAATTAAGTTCAAGAATTCAATTATATATAAGGAATGTTATAACACCTTTACAATACTTATCCTAAAAAAGTGATATCATTTTATTTTAAATTATTCCAACAATCATCTTAATTCTAATGGTTTTTTATTAAATATTAAAAATAACTTTTAAGATTCTTTATAAATCTGACAAAGTTCTTAAAAATACTTTATTACCTTGAAAGTATTTAAAATTTTCATTTATTTTCTTCAAGAGGCTCTAGAAAAACTTAATCATTTATTCTTTGTTAAAATTTTTTTTTGTTGAAAATATATTTAATTCTTACACTATTTAGGTTAAAATTAAAAATATTTTTTCACCTAGAAATATTTTAGATAATCATTCATTTGAGATTATTAAAAATTTTATCATCAAAATTTATTTTTTATTTTACAAATTTTATTTCTAAATTTTTCACAATTTTGGCCTAATTTAGAAATATTTTTACTAAAATTCAATATTTATTTATTCATCACTTTAAAACAAAAAGAAAATATTAAATTATATTTTTATTTTTTTAATATTTAATTTTTATTTGAGAAAGTATACAATTACTTTCATTTAAAAAAACTAAAAACTAAATATTAATTATTATTATTGAAAATTTATCTAAATTTTTTCTCCATTTGGGTCAAATTTAGAAAAAAAAGTTTCTCACCTAAAAATTTCTTAGAATTTAGTCATTTGTAATTTTTAAAAATTTCTTCATTAGATACTCATTATTCATTCTCAAAATTTTATTATAGTTTTTACTTATACTATTTTTTTGTAATTATTTCTTCTAAAATAGCTTCTTTCAATTTTCCTAAAATTTAATCAGACATGAATATTTCAAAAATAAATGATAAAAATAAGTAAACAAATAAACTAAAAAATAAATAAATGAAAATGAAAAAAAAACCAAAAATAAAAAGTCCACTCAGCTTGATTGGTATCACAACTCGGTTATTGGTTCAGATAACGGCTTAAGAGGACGAGTCACAGGTCAAGGCATTACGGGTCGAGCTAGCACATAGGTCCCCTTCGGGTCAACACGTGAATCTTAAAAGTTTTTAAATCCCTAAGTGGTGTCATTTTCTTGTAATATAAAAGCTCAAATTTTTCCTTTTTCCCTCAAATCACTTATTTTCCTTCTTTTTCTTCCCTGTGTTTTTTCCTTTCTCTCTATAAAATTGATTTGAATGATCATCGACTTCTAGAAAAATCCCTATCAAATTTGGGTTGAATCATCGAAATGTTATCAGTTTTTGGAATTTTAACACCAGAAGCTAGAAATAATGCCAAAAACTGGGTTTTTAGTAAAAAATCAGTCGAAAAATTCAATCTATACCGAAATCTTCAAACCGAATTTGGAAATTTTTAGAAAAACTAAGAGATTTATAAAAATTCTTCAAAGATCACCAATTTTACCCCCAATCTCTTGGAATCCTTAGAAAAACCAGATCAAGCTTTCCCAAAACTAATAAAAACTTTTACCAGAAACTTTTTCTAAAAAAAAATTTTGGATTTGATTGCTCTCTATATTTGTTGTATACTCTTTATTTTTGTCTCTGATTTTTGTGTATATTTCCTCTGTATTGCCATTGTTTTCTCTATTATTTCCCCTTGAATCTAGTGTTTTCTTTCATTTTAATTTTTTTGTGCTTTTCAATCTGATCACTTGCGTGTCCTTGTCCTTCGTTGTGAATTGTAAGGATTTATAGGACAAAATTGATGAAGTTTTAGATCAGTTCCAATTCATTTCACAAAGCTAAAGATTAGCATCTAATCTCATACTTTTTGATAATGGTTATCACCAAGCCTAATTTCAAACTTTCAGCTTTTTTTTTTCTTTTTTTATTAATTGGATAATGATAACAAAATAAAATTAAACTAGAGATAAACCACCAAAATATTAAAATAAATAAATAAAATAAATAAGTAAGTAAATAGGATAAATACGAAATAAAACCTAAAATAAAAATGAATAAAAACCCTATAATTGAGCTTGGATTAAGCCTAATTGACGAAAAACCAAACAAAATGGGGTATTTACAACTGTCCCTTTTGCGCATATTCTGTGAAATAGGAATTATGCAAAGCTATAGACATCCATTATATCAAGGTGTGGCCTAACAACAGTTACAAAATCCCAAAACTTTAAAGATTCACAACTTAAAGTATTCAAGAACTTTGTAATTCGACAATCTACCATGCAAGTTAGACTTAAGGATAACCAATTTGAGTTCAAATAATCACAATTTTGAAATTCAAAGGTTCGTAATTCAAAGATTTGCAAGAATTTCAGTTTCACAAGAATTTGATTTTCAAGGATTTCAGGTTTGCAATAATTTTTAGTTTTGTAAGAATTTTTAGATTTGTAAGAATTTAGATTCTCAAAATTCTCAAATTCACAAGAAAATTGATTCGTAAGAATTTCAGGTTCGTAAAACTCAAATTCAAAAGAATTTGATTCACAAGAATTTTAGATTTGCAAGAATGAAAGATTTACAAGAATTTGATTATCAAAATTTTAGTTTCGCATTTAAGAATCACATCTAAAATTTTAATTTAGGGATTCGCATGGCAATTGCAAGGCTCAAATCTAACATTTAAAGATTCAAATTCTAAAATTCTGAAGATTCACACCCAAAAGTTCAAACATTTCATTCAAAAATTTTAGAGATTCACTTCTAAAAATTTAAAAATTCTTATTAAAATTTTAGTATTTCACATCCGATATTCCTCATTTAAAAACTTCAGGGTTTCATCCAAAATTTCAAAGATTCAGATTAAAAAACTTTAGAGATTTAGACAAAATTTCAAAATTCTCATTCAAGTTCAAAGATATAAATTCAATAAATTTTAGACTTTCACATATAAATTCAAAGGTTCACATTTGAAAAATTCAAGGGTTCATATCCAAAGATCAAAACTTCTCATTAAAAAACTTTAGAGATTCACATAAAAAAACTTCAAGATTACCATTTAAAATTAAAAAATTCTTATTTAAAAATTCTTAGGGATTATGCTTTGAAGTCTTATAAATCATTCTCAACATTAAAAATGCTCCTTAAAAAAGCTCCATCACTTTAAAATTCTAAACATTTTCCACATAAAACATTTTTTCATTCGATGATTCACAATCTTATCTTAAAAAGCTTTCCTAAAAAAGTTTAAAATTTCTTGTCATGAAAATTCTCAATCTTTCATCAAAGTCAAAATTTCATATATAAAGAATGTTATGATAATGACGCAAATATTTTCTTAATGATGCAAGTGCAAGAATCTAGATTCTCACAATAATGCAAATGCCATACTCTAAACCATAATTCAAATGTTCATTGTATGAGGTAAATGTATGGCCAAACAAAAGTTTTAAATATTCAACAAATTATGTGCATATATTGTTCAAACAATAATGCAAACGTAATGCATGTAATGTGGATGTCAATAAAATCAATGAAATTCTAATTAATTGTGGTAATATGGTTCTTAAAACTTCATCATCTCACATTTCCTTTTTAGCATCTCAACATTAGCATTTCAAAATATATTTTGTCAACTAATCCACATTATTTTCATTATCAGATCATAACTTATAGGTTATGTTGACCCATCCATCACAATATTCGTCACTTGGTCACCCTATTTGCTTGTTCAATTCATCTTTTTAGATCTTTTCATATTCTTTTTACCTCTGTCATCGTGGATTTTTTTTAAAGGAATGCAATAATATTTTATGAACATTATCTTTCATTCATTACCATTTCAATTCATGACAAATATAATGCAATCATACATTTTTTTGATTTATTTTGGGGATACAAAAATAAGAGAGTATAAGATGAAT